TTACTGTGCTTAAGGTAAATTTTTTAAATTTATTTCTGATTACTAGACCGGTCGTAATATTTTAAAGAAAATGTCAACAACTTATACCTTTTTCGATTATTTTCGAAGTTTAGGAGTTCTTTTGAGAAAGTAGTTTGTATATTTGAGGTATTTACTTTTATTAATAACGGTAGTAGTTGTCCTAATCTACTTTCGTAGAAACCTCTTTAAGTGTGGTGGAAACTTGAAAAAAAAATGAAAATAGTATACCTGCATCGCTGACACCCGTTCTCTGACAGCCTGGATAAAATCATCGTGACCCGCGATGAGACTTGTAACTACCGAAAATTGGTGCCATTTGTATCTGAAAAACAAAAACAAAAATTGTATATTACTGTAGTTTAATGGACTTGAGCAAGGCAGCTCATGATAATATTAGGTACCTAAATACCTGAATAATCACGTGGCACATATTCCTCAGACTAGCTTGGAAAAGTGCTAGAAAGATATTAGTGGACAAAACGAGTAGTTACTGGTTTTCGGCAAGTGCGGTCGTCGGAAATATTATATTGGCTACAATTACTTAGATACTAATTAACCATACGACTGATTTCGCACTAGCACATACCTGTATTTAACATGTAAGCCAATTTTATATTATGCTCCGTGTCAGCATTCCACAATAATTGCACTGCCACACATGAATATTCATTCAAAAACTCAATAAAACGTTTTCTAGGCAGTATGTATGTTAATGATATTTTTCAATAAATTAGAAGAAGTAAAATGTATGTCTCTGTACTACTGTCTAATAAAAATATTCTGGATATAACCCAAGTTAAAAATAATATCTATCACTGTGAGTTCGGATATATAGTATATATATATATATATACATCCTCAAACATTATTGCGTCCGTACAAAATCATACATTGTTGCGTCTCCAGGAAAACGAAGAGGTATCTATGATCTCAATGCGTATACTCGTTCACCAATGCATTTGATAGATGGGGCTATATGTAGATTTTTCGTATCTTCAAATTTAAAATATACAGATTTTCATATATTTTTAAACCATTGTTGCGTCCTCATAAAAAGCAACCTTGTCAGCTCCATATATTGGTTGCACCATACAATGTTGCTTCCGTGCGATGTTGTCAAATTGACAGGACGCAATAAAATTACGAAACTATGACGAAGGAAAATTGAATATCGGCTTATCGGCGTTTTCTTGGTAAAAAGTTATGAGCTGATTTGGACAACATCAAAAACGCAACATAAAATACACAATAATAATTTCTCCTGTAATTCAAATGCGTCTCAGGTCGCAATTTTTGCCGGTATACCACCGCATAAATTGAATTGAATTGAATTGAATTGAATTGAATTGAATTGAATTGAATTGAAACGTCTTTATTGTAATAAATTTTTACAAATAGGCGAAGTCTAGCTCTAAGGCTACTCTACTTAACCTTTAAGTTAACAAAAGAAAATATTTGTAGATGGTAGTACAGAATATATAGCTAGCAAAAATAATTATTAAAATCACTATAAAAATGAAACTAACAGAAATGTTACCCTGAAAAAAAAAAAAAAAAAAAAAAGATACAAAAAAAAGAAACAGTATTTTACATTACCATTAAAAAGAAACGTATGATTTTCATCTGATCAAACCCTGTTCCCTTGTTCCAATAATAAATGGTTTTTAACATTCTTTCGAAAATTTGCAACAGAGCAATTTTTACTTTCAACAATATTTGAATACTTGTTGTAGTGTTTTACTGCATTATAAGTGAAACTACGGAGAAAACTGGTTAAACGATGTTGAGGCATTGTAAACCCATTTAGGTATCTTAGATTTACACTATGTACTTGACTTCTTTGAATTAGTTTTCGTCGAAGGTAGGGAGGAGAGGAGGATGAAATCATTCCATGTACAAACACGGTCAAGTTACAAATAAATAAATTTTCCATTCGTAACCAGCCCAGCTGGTTGATTTTTGTGGATATACCTCTTTCAAATTTTTTCAAACCATAGACGAATCTGCAGCAAGCATTTTGAAATTTCTGCAGCCTGCCCGCAGTTTTTTTATCTAAACATGGAAAGACAACTATATTGCAATAGTTCAAAATCGGAAGAACTAATGATTCGCAAAGCCTTTTTCTTGACCTAAAATTGATGATTGATTTGTTATAGTACAGTGGTTTTAATGCAAAATACGCCTTTTTTATAGTATTAGAAATGTGGGTATTGAATCTCAAATTTGTATCAAAAGTAATACCTAGATTTTTTGCCCTGTCGACTATTTCTAGCTGTGTAGGACCTACAAAAATACGTAAATTTGATTTGATATATTCTGTTTTGTTTTTTGGGGAAAAGGTCATGACACAGCATTTAGAGGCATTTAATTTAAGGTTATTCTTATTAGCATAATCCAGAATTCTTGAAAGGTCATTATTTATAGATTCGGACGCTTGCTCAACTAGACTGCTATCAAAACTATAAGAAAGTTCTGTATCATCAGCGAAACCTCCAATTTGACAATTTTCAACCATTTTGAACATGTCAGCTGTGTAAATTAAAAAAAGAATGGGACCTAAAACGGATCCTTGTGGGACCCCTGACGTTATATTTTCCAACCCAGAGGGATCGCAATCTGGAATAACCACCTGCTGTTTACGGTTTTTCAGATAGTTCTTGAAAAAGTTGACGACCACATCATTACATCCATAATAACTTAGTTTGGCACAAAGAAGATCAAAATCAAGGGTGTCAAATGCTTTGGAAAAATCTAGCATTATCACTGCAGTAGATAAACCTTCGTCCAGAGCAGTAAATATTTCGTCTGTAAGTTTGGCAAGAACGGAAGACGTGCTTTGGCCTTTTCGAAAGCCTGATTGTGTTTGTGGAATTATGCTGTTCAAAATAAAAAAATCATATATTTGCGGTTGAATATGCTTTTCTAGATTTTTAGACAATGTAGGTATTAATGAAATAGGTCTCAGATCGGAATAAGACTGTGGTTGATTTATTTTAGGTAATGGTTTCACTATTGAGATCTTCCACGCATTCGGAAAGTATCCTGTCTCCAAACAACAGTTTATAATGTTTGTAATGTGTGGTAAAAGAAAGTTTATGCATAATTTCAGCATCTGCGCTGATATACCATCATAGCCAGAAGCGTTGGATTTTAAATCCAAAATTATATTTTTTATTTCTTCCATTGTTGCCAAATTGAAGGAAAAGTTTAAGTTTTCATCGTACCTGGCACCTGAAAACTCTTTCACAGTGTCTGTACAATTATGATGCTGACCATAGACTGAGGCAAAATACTGATTTATTTCGCTTGGGTTACGTAAGTTTTCAGGTAACTCTCGGTTTGCGCTTCTTTTCAAATTAAGCTTGTTAATGGCCTTCCACAGCTCTTTACTGTTGTTGGATCTTTGGTGGAATTCAAGAAAAGATTTCTTTTCTTGCCGTATAGCATAGCCCACAGTGTTTCGTAGTTTTTTATAGTAGGCCCAATCCCCAATATTTTTAGTCTTTTTAAATTTGGACAAAGCTTTATCTCTCTGGTTCATAAGGGATTTTATATTATACGTGATCCATGGAGAAATAGGTTTAGTCACCCTGGCTGTTACAAAAGGAGCATGTTTATTAAATAAATTTAAAAGATTTGTGTTGAAAAAAGTAATTTTTTCCTCTATGTCTTGAATATAGAAAATGTCATCCCATAAAATGACCTGAATATCCCTATTTAATTCATCAATAGTGAGCTGCTTAAAATTTCGATAAAAAACCATTTTTGGTTTAGACTTTTCCACGGATATATTTAACTCACAAATGATAGCTCTGTGGTCAGAAATCAAATCCGCGTTGAGCGTGATACAATCTATTACCATTGAGGGTTGGTTAAAATATATAACATCAATAATTTTCTGAGTGGTGCTTGTTATTCTGGTGGGCTCGCTTACCAACTAAGCAAAGTCGTAGGTCGAAAAGCATTCTAAAAGAATATTTTCAAAATAATGGTCTACGTTTACGTCACCTAGAACAATAATATTTTTATATTGAGGACCAATAAAAGACAACAGATCATCGAAATAATCAACACATTCTTGTAGGTTTGACTTTGGGGGTTTGTAAACTGATCCCACCAAAATTTTCTCCTTTCCAATCATCAATTCAATGAAAACAAGCTCCAACCCCTCAATCGATGGGAAATCTTGTAGCGTGTATGCACAATTTAAACTATTACTAACATAAATACCAACACCTCCTCCCCTGCCATCCCTATTTACCCCAAATAGTGTATAATTAGGAATCGAATAATCAAAGTTTATCAAAGGTTGAGCAAAATGCGAATCCTCATCATTTAACCATGTCTCCGACATGCACATGACGTCAATTTTTGAATTTAAAATCATTGATTTAAAATAATCAAATCCCGTTGCCAAAGAACGAACATTCAAATGCCCTATCTTTAAATGTTTCATTTTATAGAAAAGAAAAAAAAATTAAACTCTAACTAGCTACCAGGAAAGCCGGTACTGCCCAATTTGAAAAATAAAATTTATAAACAATACGCTGTTTAAGCCATGCTTTTTTGTCTTGTTTTTGAAAATATAGTAGGTACTTAGTAAACAAAAAAGAAACAATAGGCAAAAAACTTTGCAGATAAAGAAAAATAATACCAATATAATTTTTAACACAATTTCAATCGCTTACCAATTTACAGGTTCAAATAATAACAATAATTATAATTTTATGCACACAATAGGTTCTTTCTTTATATTTCCCTATTTACTCACTGCTTTCTTTTAACTCACTTAACTTTGATTTATCAGAGATACGATGCACTTCATTTTCGCATTTTACATAGATATTTCCGTTTAACACCCACGCAGATTTACTAGAAAAAACGTCAATTGCACTCTTCAATAGGCCTAAGCGATTTTTTGTAAGGTCTTCCCTTATCACAATTTTCGAGCCTTTTAAATTTTTTCGATTTCTTATCACCTGAGAGCGCGATGTATCCGAGGCGAAACGAACTAAAACTGCAGGAGGCTGATCGCTGGGACCCATAGAAGAAACACGATGACACTTTTTTATTACCGAGTCGACCAGATTTATTTTCAATTTATTTGTAAACACTTCCAAAACCTTTGTTCGCAGATTTTCGGTATTTTCGCCATCAACCTTGATTCCATGGATGCGCACGTTTAAGTTCCGCGCATGCTGCTCTTGATCATCGATAATTTTTCTCAGCTGCATATTTTCCTCAATTATTTTGTTTTGATTTTCTTTGAGCGTTTCGATTTCCACATCCTGGGCCTTCAACTTCTCCTCTAACTGTTTGTCTACCATTGCAGCGACTTTGGAAACCACATCTTGCAGAAATTTATCATTGAATGTTGAGATAATGCAACCTTTTATCTCTCTCAGATCTGCGGATGACAGACCCATTATGGCGGACAATAGAATATTTCACAAGTAAAACCTGTATTTCTACACCAAAAAAATTGCTGCTCCAGGAAACCTTACACGACTCTATGCACAGAAACTAGCACTTATACTTCCGATAGATTTCGGTAATTATTTTTAAAGTTAACAGGCGCTTTGACTTGAAAATTTAGGAGCAGATACCAGCTACGACCTATCTACTCGCACGCCATCTACAATAGATGATTGCGACTTACTGATACGAATTTGAATTGCACATTCCAAATAAAGCCCCCCTGATACTAATACTTTTTCATACTCCCCCCCAGCCCACGAAAATTGACTATTCTGTTCTAAATAGGCAAGCGAAAGCGGAAGTGGAACATGCCAGGTCATCGGTTGATAGGTACGAAAAACTTTTGCGCCCTGGACCTGGGTGCTGCGTTGGACTAACAAATAATTTCATTGAAGATAAACAAGAAAAATTTCCGTTGGAAAGACTCTAGTAAGATTAAATGGAGACATTAGGATAAGAATTGCCAATGTTTCTTCTTAAACAGTAAAAATAAAAGGAGATATTATTGGAACTCTCGAACCAGTTGAGCAAATTTCAAACTGTGACCTACCAGATAAACGACATTTTGTGAAACCGAAATTGGATACAGAGAAATTGATGCAGACTTTGAAGATATCATAGAAACACCTCGATCCAGATAGACTTCAAGAAGCCACAGACTTCATCTTGAAAGAAGCAGACGTATCTGTGATGGATAATCAAACCGGACAGACCAGTTTACTCCAACACAAAATTGATACTGGATTGGCATACCCAATTAGACAACCACCTTGACGTATGCCAGTAGCTAAACAACAGGAAGTGGAAAACCAAATTGATAAAATGCTTCAAGAGGGAATTATTGAAGAGTCGAATAGTCCATGTTCTGCGCCAGTAGTATTGGTTACAAAGAAAAATGGAAGTCTTAGATTTTGTGTGGACTACCGTAAGCCTCATGAGGTCACCAAGAAGGACAGCTTCCCTCTCCCCAGAATAGATGATACATTAACAACTCTATCGGACTCCAAATGGTTTACCACCTTGGATCTTAGGAGTGGATACTGGCAAGTGGCAATATACAAAGATGACAAGGAGAAAACTGCCTTCAGTATCGGAAGCGGGTTATACCACTTCATCGTGATGCCTTTCGGATTGTGTAATGCTCCAGTTATGTTTGAGCGACTGATGCATCTTGTTTTGCCAGGCCTTACATGGAGAACTTGCCTGGTATATTTATATGATGTCATGATCATGGGAAATTCGTTCCAAGAACATCTCAATAACCTGAAACAAGTTTTTGACTGCTTCCAGAATGACAACTTAAAACTCAATCCAAAGAAGTGTTTTCTATTTCAAAAAAAAAATGGAACTCTTAGGTCACGTGGTATCTGAAGATGGCATAAAAGTTATGAAAGGAAAGATAGATGCTGTCAGGGATGGGCCAAAACCACGCGACAAACATGAACTGACGAGTTTTCTAGGATTGTTATCGAAGATTTGTAGAAGGATTCACTAATATAGCTGTTCCGCTTCATCGATTAACGAAAGAAAAATCAACATTCAATTGAACCCAAGAATACGATTCCGCATTTAGAAAATTAAAACGAGCATTATGTACAAGTTCAGTGTTGTCCTATCCCGATCAGAAGACATGTTGATTTTGCACTCAGATGCAAGCAACACCGGTATTAGAGCTATCCTTTCACAAATCTAAAATTCACAAGAGCATGTCGTAGAAGTACTACCGCAGAATTTTATTAAAGCCGGAACGAAATTATTGTGTCACCAAAAGAGAATTGCTTGCCTTAGTAAAAGCAGTCGACCATTTCCATGAGTATCTCTACGGAAATAAGTTTCTGATTCGAAGGGACCACGCAGCTTTAAAATGGCTTTTGGGGATGAAATACCATATAATTTGCAAAAACACGTATCAACACACTTGGATATTTATCCTTTCGAATTTTTTTTTATGACAATTGGATGAAGCCGCGTATAATAGCTTGGTTCGGTAATTGCATCAGCGAGCGAAGTGAGCAAAATTTGACAGATGTTACGTGATTTGACACGTGAAAAGAGATGAGTGATCATGTGACGTCTGTCAAAATTTGCTCATTTCGCTCGCAGATGCAATTACCGAACCCAGTTATTATACTCGGCTTCATTCAATTGTATTTGAGTTTAGAAATTCGATATTTGTGTTGAAGTTCACTGATGCCAGCGATATGAGTATATGAAGAAAAAAAAAATTGTAAAAATACTATTACAGAGATATTAAAATGCATCCTATTTGATAGTGATATTTGAATATTTCATCAAAAATTACAAATTAAATACAAAACATAGCAGGTGTTTTAGGGCGTAAAAAACAATAAACAATTCTTCATATCATTATAATTATTTATTTATTCATATAAACACCAAACTATACAACTTTAAAGCTACAAATGATAAATTTGTTGACCAAAAATAATTGAAAGAATTTGAAAAAAATGCTGATGCTAAATTCACCAATATAAGCATTACATTCAAACTTACATTTATCTAGCTGAATGGGTCAGTCACTGAATGTCACTTTAAACAAATTCTAGCTTTAAATTTGGCGTGGCATATGTTGCATTTAAAATTCCTCTCATTTGAGTGTGATAATAAATGACTCTTCAAATTGTATTTAAGTTTAAATTTTGCAGTGCAAGTGTTACATTCAAATAGATAAATATCCGAATGTGTTAGTTTGTGAATCTTTCAATCGCTTTTTTGTTTAAATTTTGATTTACAAGTGTCACATTCAAATGGATAAATATCCGACTGTGTTAGTTTGTGAATCTTTAAATCGCCTTTCCGTTTAAATTTTGATTTGCATGTGTCACATTCAAAAGGATAAATATCAGAATGTGTAAGTTTGTGTCTCTTCAAATAATCTTTTCCTTTAAATTTTGCTTTGCAAATGTCATATTCAAAAAGATAAATATCCAAGTGTGTTGAAATGTGCCTCTGCAAATTACCTTTTTGTTTAAATTTTACATTGCAAGTGTCACATTCAAATAGATAAATATCCGAATGTGTTAGTTTGCGAATCTTTAAAACGTGTTTCCGTTTGAATTTTGATTTGCAAGTGTCACATTCAAAAGGATAAATATCCGAGTGTGTTGATACGTGTCTTTGCAAATTATATGGTATGCTGGGTTCGGTAATTGCATCTGCGAGCGAAATGAGCAAATTTTGACAGACTTCACGTGATCACTTATCTCTTTTCACGTGTCAAATCACATGACATCTGTCAAATTTTACTCTTTTCGCTCGCAGATGCAATTACCGAACCCAGCATACCATATAATTTGCAAAAACACGTATCAACATACTCGGATTTGAATGTGACACTTGCAAATCAAAATTCAAACGGAAACACGTTTTAAAGATTCACAAACTAACACATTCGGATATTTTGATATTTATCTATTTGAATGTGACACTTGCAATGCAAAATTTAAACAAAAAGGTAATTTGCAGAGGCACATTTCAACACACTCGGATATTTATCTTTTCAAATGTGACATTTGCAAAGCAAAATTTGAAGGAAAAGTTTATTTGAAGAGACACAAACTAACATTCTGATATTTATCCTTTTGAATGTGATATTTGCAATGCAAAATTTAAAGAAAAAGGTAATTTGCAAAGGCACGTATCAACACACTCGGATATTTATCCTTTCGAATGTGACACATGCTAATCAAAATTTAAACGGAAAGGCGATTTAGGGCCGAATTTATAGTAGGTCCTTGAGGTTTCCTCAGACCTCAAGGAAGCCTTAAACGTTTAGAATTGACATGACAGACTTGTCAAATAGTAGCAAGTGTCTATTCTAAACTCGCGACTCCAAGGAAGATTCAAGGAACGACTATAAATTCGGCGCTTAAAGATTCACAAACTAGCACAGTTGGATATTTATCTATTTGAATGTGACACTTGCAATGCAAAATTTAAACAGAAAGGTAATTTGAATAGACACAAATTAACACATTCTGATATTTATCCTTTTGAATGTGACACTTGCAAATCAAAATTCTAACGGAAAAGCGATTGGAAGATTCACAAACTAACACATTCGGATATTTATCTATTTGAATGTAACACTTGCACTGTAAAATTTAAACTAAAATACAATTTGTAGAGTCATTTATTAACACACTCAAATGAGAGGAATTTTAAATGCAACATATGCCACGCCAAATTTAAAGCTGGAATTTGTTTAAAGTGACATTCAGTGACCCATTCAGCTAGATAAATGTAAGTTTGAATGCAATGCTTATATTGGTGAATTTAGCATTAGCATTTTTTTCAAATTCTTTCATTTATTTTTGGTTAACAAATTTATCATTTGTAGCTTTAAAGTTGTATAGTTTGGTGTTTATATAAATAAATGAATATAATAATATGAAGAATTGTTTATTGTTTTTTACGCCCTAAAACAACTTCTAGGTTTTGCATTTAATTTGTAATTTTTGATGAAATATTCAAATATCACTATCAAATAGTATGTATTTTAATATATCTGTAATAGTATTTCCATAGTTTTTTTTTCTTCATATACTTATATCGCTGGCATCAGTGAACTTCAACACAAATATTGAATTTCTAAACTCAAAAACAATTGAATGAACCCGTGTATAATAGCTGGGTTCGGTAATTGACACGCGAAAAGAGATAAGTGATCACGTGACGTCTGTCAAATTTTGCTCACTTCGCTCGCAGATGCAATTACCGAACCCAGCTATTATACGCGGCTTCATTCAATTGTTTTTGAGTTTAGAAAATCAATATTTGTGTTGAAGTTCACCGATGCCAGCGATAAAAGTATATGAAGAAAAAAAGATTGTAAAAATACTATTACGAAAATATTAAAATGCATCCTATTTGATACTGATATTTGAATATTTCATCAAAACTTACAAATTGAATACAAATCATAGCA